GAGTTTTGCCTCCCCTTGTCTTGTCATGTCTGATGAGTCCCAGCTGTGCTCTCCTCCTGTTTCACATTCCCTAATCACCTCAGTATGTATTTAAGCCCTGTGTTTTTCCCTGCCGGTTGTTGCGTCCTCCACGTTTGTTGCGTGTGTATTCATTGTTGTCTACCTTCAGCATCTCCAGTCTAGTTAGTTTAAGTTGTTATTTATGTATCGCCAAGTGTGACTCACCAGCAAATAAAGCTGTCGTTTAAGTTAATGTTTTGTCTCCGAGTCCTGCACGTGGGTCCAGCCACTGACAGCCACACAACTCATCATGACAACAAAACTGCTTGAATATCCCCCCCCCACCCCAAAACAAAAAACATGTCTCTCACCTGCCTCCATACCGGTGAGAATTTAAAAGAATTTGAAATTTTCAAATTTGGAGATTCATCACTCTGACACCCCTTCATTCAGTCCAGTTCCCAGCAGGGGCTGTGTGTGTGTGTGTGTGTGTGTATGTGTGTTTACATATCTTTGTGGGGACCAAAAATTGGAAGTTTACTATGCTTGTGGGAACCAACAGCCTTTATGGGGATAAACTCCACGTCCCCACAAGTTTGAAGGTATTTTTGAGGCTCAAAATATGGTTTTAGTGTCAGGGTTACTGTTAGGTTATGGTTAAGTTTAGGCATTCATCTTTGATGGCTGGGGTGGCTCGGGAATACATTATGTCAATTATATGTACCCACAAAGATATAACATGATATAAAGCACAGTGTGTGTGTGTGTGTGTGTGTGTGTGTGTCCTCACCCAGCATTTTGACAGTGTTCCTGTGACTCTGGTCTCTACGGCTGCTTTTTGGGCGGAGCCACAGCGTGCGCCCAATCAGACTATATACCACTCCCAGAATGCAGAGCGGTACCAGGAAATACAAATTGGAGAGAATCATCATGGCTGACAACAGGCCAGAGGAGATGGCAAAATGTGTACAGCGGCACTCTCTCTTGTCAGTCTCTCCCCCGCGGCCTTCATCGGAGCTTCCTCCTCCCTCGTCTTCCTTTTTGTTTTGCTGCTCTCCCTCAAATCCCATCTTTCCGTCTCCCTCCCTTCCACGTTCAACTGTATGTTTTTCATGTTTCCTTTCACCTTTGTCTTCCGGTGGCCTGTTATCTACTTCTGCTGTTCCGGTCTCCACTTTTTCTCCGATCCATTTCAGTTCACCAACTCGTTCCTCCCAACTCTTTGTCTCTTTTTCACCCCACTTTATTCCCTCTAGACCTCCATCCACGTGTCTGCTTTCTTTCTCTCCTCCACCCATCGTAAACCCTCCCTGATCTCCTTCCCTGCCTGTCCACCCCCCGTCTTCTTTCCATTGGATGAGCCCGAGGTCTTCTCGTCCCACGTCCTCCACTCCAACCATGATCAGCACTGGTGCGGCACTCACAGCCGCACTCAGCCAGAGGCAGCCTATGATGGCCCGGGTTCTGCGCCGTGTCACTACTGTCTTGGCTGTGATTGGCCAGCAGACTGCCAGGTACCTCTCCAGGGAGAGGAAGGTGATGTGGAGGATGGTGCAGAAAGTGCAGCACTCTGAGAGGAACATAGTCAGCTTACAGGCGAGGTCTCCCAGGGGCCAGGGCCGGGGCCTCCAGAGCTTGGAGAGACAGAACAATTATTTTCCTCTGATTGCATTTTATACCTTTTTTAACCTGTAAAGAATATGTGAGCAGTGCATAGCATGTCAACTCAGATAAGAACAAGTATTTAATATTAACTCAGCTGCTTAGTTTAAATGAACATTCTGAAAACTAGGGGAGACCGGGGATAGTTGTAAC